CCTTGGCATCTGGCAACCCTGCTGGAGTGGGCGGGGACTCTAACCACCTTCCGTTTCAACTGAAATGTGCTTCCGTTTCAACTGAAATGCTTGCATACAACATACTGAAATGCTTGCATACAACATACTGAAATGATTTTCAGTTGTGTGAGTGAGAGCGTTTCAGTTATGTTTGTAAAAGCATTTCACTTGTATGTGTGTGAGCATTTCACTTGTGTGTGTGAGAGCATTTCACTTGTATGTGTGTGAGCGTTTCAGTTGTGTGTGTGAGCGTAATATTTTCAGTTGTATGTATGAGAGCGTTTCAGTTGTGTTTGTAAAAGCATTTCACTTGTATGTGTGTGAGCATTTCAGTTGTGTGTGTGTGAGTGTTTCAGTTATGTGTGTGAGCATAATATTTTCAGTTGTATGTATGAGAGCATTTCACTTGTATGTGTGTGAGCATTTCAGTTGTGTGTGTGTGAGCATTTCAGTTGTGTGTGTGAGCGTAATATTTTCAGTTGTATGTATGAGAGCGTTTCAGTTGTGTTTGTAAAAGCATTTCACTTGTATGTGTGTGAGCATTTCAGTTGTGAGTGTGTGAGTGTTTCAGTTATGTGTGTGAGCATAATATTTTCAGTTGTATGTATGAGAGCATTTCAGTTGTGTGTGTGTGTGTGAGCGTTTCAGTTGTGTGTGTGAGCGTAATATTTTCAGTTGTATGAATGAGAGCGTTTCAGTTGTGGTTGTCAAAGCATTTCACTTGTATGTGTGTGAGCATTTCATTATAGTATGTGAATGAATTTGGTTTTATATGTGTATGTGAGAGGAAAAGTACATGTATATGCAAGGTAATTCTGAATAATGTCCCTAGGGGCACCTCATACTATTCGCTTTGGACTAGCGTCGAACTAGACGCGAATTTGAAGCTCTATTCGCGTTTGGTGTGACCGCATAATGAACAGGCTGCAATGTCAAGATTGCAATGCTGGAGAGTGTGTGTGTGTGCGAGAGAGAGAGAGAGGCGCGCGGGCGCGATTGAACTGTGTGTGTGTGAGAGAGAGAGAGAGTCATTTTGTTTATACAGATCATTAAACCTGCAAAGTGTTTACTTATATTTGTGTACACTCGCAATAAAATACAACATTGTGCTTTTGTCACACTGTAAACTCTTGTCAAACTGTAACCTACAACTGTCACCCAACCAAAATCACACACACACACACACACACACACACACACACACACACACACACACACACACACACACACACACACACTGTTTTAAAAGCAAAACATATTTATCCAACTCCATTTCAAAACAGTCTGTCTTTTGGACATTCGTCATATCGCATTGGTTTTCATTTCTTGTCCTCAGAGCACTAATCTTACACATTCAACATTGATTAAAAAAGAAAATCGAATGTGTTTTTAATGGTAGTATTATTTTATACAGAAATCAATTATTTATAATTCAGATGAGAATAATGTTACATTGTCAATTAATAATGTTAATTAAAATTAAGGAAAACAAATATATTGATCTGAAATATAGCAAAATAATTTTAAATTAATAGTACAATTACCAAACATATCGCAAGGTCTTTTTGTCCTTTTATTAATTTAATTAATAAACTAATTATATAAAACTATTGTCAGTGCACTACAAATAAACTGGTTCTATGCCTTTATTAATAAAACTTATTTAAAAAAATACAATGCCTTCTGCATTTTTGTTTTGCTTTTTCCCTCCATTGTACCGAAATCGTACCGAACCGTGATGTCTGAACCGAGGTATGAACAGAACCGTGACTTCGGTGTACCGTTCCACCCCTAGTTGTAATACATACAGTCACATTCAATAATGTTAATATACTAAACACAATATGAATCACTTTTTTTTTAAAGTCACTGAAATCAAAATATTCTAACTACGATTATAGTATCGTAAAATTCTGTTTCTTTCTTTCTATGCTTTAATATCAAAAGAAAACACTAGCAGGGGTGTCGGATTTTATCTCCAGCCCTAATTAAACACACCTGAGGCAGTTAATCAAGGTCATCAGATCAATGAACACTTCCAGGTGCTGGAGCTAAACTCTTCATGAAGAGGAACAAACACCTCTGAGCTATAGCCATTAACTACATCTCAGTTCATTTTCTGTGAAACTACAGCATTCAAATAACACGTTTATCTTGTAGAATAAAAAATATCTTAGTTTTTTTCAATGAAAATTTCTTTAAAGAGATAGTTCAGCCCGAAATGAAAATTCTGTAATCATTTACTCACCCTCAAGTTGTTCCAAACCTGTATGAGTTTATTTCTTCTTTTGAACACAAAATAAAATATTTTAAATTATGTCGGTAACCAGAAAGTTGACGGTGGCCGTTGATTTCCATAGTAGGAAATAATTACCATGGAAGTCAATGGCTAACATCAACTGTCTGGTTACCGACATTATTCACTCTTCTTTTGTGTGCAGCAGAAGAAAGACATTCATACAGGTTTGGAACAACTTCAGGGTAAATAAATGATGACATAATTTTAATTTCAGGCTGAACTATCTCTTTAAAGCTGCATATTCACCTTATGTAGACCCCAATCTATTTAAATATCACAAAATAGCCATGTCAGTCAGTTTCTTAATAAACACTAGATGTTTTTTTGTTATTGTGTTTCAGTGGAAACAAGCTAAACTGAATGGAAATCAGTTATGTCTCAAATTTAATACAGATTCAGGAATATGAATGATTACCTGATTAAGCAGTGATAAGATACAGGATATCATCAAGTCCCAGGTCAGGTGATTATGCTGTCGACAACAACTCAATGTATGATCAATGTCAGCATTATCAGGAGGGTGCTTTTTTAATTGTCCATCTTCATCTGCCTTCACTCCTACTAAAGGAGCAATGTGTTCTGCATGCAAGCACTGACCGATACAAGACATGGGCTATGTTAACATTCTTGCTCATGTTCATGTCTCTTGCACCTTAAGAAATCTGTTAAATGACATAACTTTATTCAGGGAATTCCTAATAAACTTTACTAAAGCAAGATGCATTTTTTTAAGAATGTAGAAAAATAGATGCTTTATTCAAACACTTTAATAACTTTGTAATCTAATTACAGTGAGTAACAACACAAATCAAACGCAAATAAGCATGCAAAACAAAGGAACAGAGAAATAAGGTAGATGCACCATTGTTTGAAACTGTGCTAGAGAAGTCATGTATGTCAGGTGATTCAACAAACAAGACTTCTGTATAGGATGCACCTGTTTTCTCTCTAATGAGGAAGCATTAGACTATTGAAAAGTGCACATGCAAAGACAAAATGGGCGTTTACCAATCAGTGGCCAATTTCAAACTACAATACAGGTAAATGTTTTTCAACCATTTTTCAACAGACTTGCTAAAATCATGAAGGCCCACCCCTAAACCAAGCCCACAGTGGATTACAGCAAATCGGGTAAAGCGGTTGAAAATGCCCATTGTGGTTTGAAAACGCCCCACTGATCGAGAAACACCCACTAGTGTTCTGCAGAGATACGCCTGAATGATCTTGTGCTCATCAACTACAAATCACTGTTAGTTCAATGTCACTGTCTCCACCCATGTGTGTTGTTGGCTTTCATCGAAATGTCAATGCTGATCCAGCACACTTTAAACATTGAAATGTCAATATCAACCAAAATGATGGTTTAGATCAAAACTCAACATTGTATCAATGTCACCATGCTATCTGGGAACTATATCCCTTACTGTTTATTATGAAAGATTTCCACATCCTAAAATGCAAACCCTCGTTAATGTACAGGTAATATTTACATACACATTTACCTTTTCATTTCATGCTCAAAGATCCTTCATGTTTTCATCCTCTCAATGCTTTCTTTACCCCTGCACACTCTCACTCTTTCCATGCTGTCTCTCATGATCTTATCTGTGCTTCAGTATCTTTACTCCCTCTTTTCTCACTGCATTATCTCTTTTCTATTTATTCTCTCAATGTGATTACGGATGAAGTGAGAGTGGAGATATTTATCCAGCAAGGATCAGTCAATGCCCTGTGAAAGTGCTCAGCATGGACTGAGTGTCGATCCTCCCTGAACCCACTCCATCATGCATTGACAGGTGTTTTAACATTCTGCTGATCAGATACACTGCCAGCAACAGGGAGAGGGATACGTTTAGAAAGAGGAAACGGAAGGCAACATAATAAGGCAGCTACAGTTGTTGTGTGTTTTTTTAAAGTGAGAATCATCGAGCTATTAACTGAGCTACTGATTCAAGACCATTTACTTGATGTTTACAGGTTCTAAAATCTTTTAAATCTATTCATTGTGTTTTAAAATAATAGTTTACATACAATCTTAAAAATAAAAGCTCTTCATTGACATTGATGGTTCCATGAAGAACATGTAACATCCATTTTATGGTTCTCATTTAACAACCATGGAACATTTTTAATCCATTAAAGGTTCTTTATAGTAGACAAAAAAGTTCTTTAGATCATTCACACTAAGAAAAAAAGGTTATTTTAAGAACTGTTCACTGAAAGGTTCTTTGGAGAACCACAAATCGTTCTTTGATGGAATTGCTATGAAATTTTCAAAACCTTATTTAAGAGTATAGACAAGAAAATTAATAATTTATTCATTCTCATGTCATTCTTTACCAATATGCGGTTGATGTTCTGTGGAACACAAAGGAGTATTTTTGATGAATAATACTAAATTAAGCGCCAATATGACAAAAAAAAAAAGCACCATAAAAGTAGTTTTAGGACAATTACATTTTTTCAAAGAATCGTTTCACAAATCTAACTAAACAAATCACATTTATCAGTCTGATGAACTTTTACTATTTACAGATGTTTGTAAAAGACCTGAAACATACAACCTTCAAAATATTTAATGAGCTGTTCCACAAAAGAAAGAATGCACAAATAATGAATGAATTTATGAACGAAAGTTGGTCTTGGTAGTTTGCGTTCTAACTAATTATTCTGTTTTTAGGAGGAGAAGGGATTGGTGTGGCAAAAGTCCAAACCTCAGCACCTCCAATTCAAAATGCTTCTTCCATAGTGACCGCTTGTGCAGCAACAGCTGTATTAACAACTGTCCTGTTTGCCATTCTGTGTGTCACCTACCAGACACGGTCTTCACTCAGGAAAACATGCAGACGTATGAATATACATACTCACAATACTTTTTTTTTAATCCGCTAATCCACTGAGTGTAGCTTAAAACATAAATTTAACTACCTTTTCATTCAACTCTATTCTCAGGTTGTTTATCACCAGTCAGCAACAGTCATCACGACAGTGATGCTGCCTCGGTTCCCATGCCAATCCTACACACAGTGATGCAGAACACAGAAGTGGACAGATCAAGTAAGTGTGTATGACACAATGTGACGGCAACTTTGCAGTGCTATCTTCAACTTATTTTTATACACCACATGGCAAAACATCACCTTCAGAAAAAGATCCAGAGTCTATTTAAAACAATCCTCTCAGCATGACAATATAGTGTTTCTAATAGGGGTTCAGTGCACACTGATTAGCAGTGTTATCCCATTATTATTTACCATATGAAAGAAACTATACCCTCTGTGTTTTTGTGAATGACCCTTAGTATGGTCAATTAATATTAGGGTCAAAATCAATTCACAATGGAAGGTAATTTCCTAAATAAATAAATAAAAATTGTGGCATCGAAAAATGGTTTTAGTTTCAGTGCTGAGAAAGAATATTGTATGTAACATTGATAACATTGTTCTACATTACAGAGAAATACTAAACCATAATAATGAATCTTTAATTATAAATTAAGCGTTCAAGCGCACCGGTAAAAGTAATTATAATGTGTCTGAAAAACAGAAAGAAGACTGCCTGGACATTTTAATAATTTATTGATAAAGTCAGTGTTGGCTGCAAAGATGAAGTTGATGATGCTGACTCGTCATCTCCACAATACAGTGGATACGCCTTTAGAGAGAAATGCACATAAAGTTAAACATCCCATGTAGTAAGCCTGGTACTAATTCAGCTTCCACACTCCTCTTGAATTGTTGAAAAAATGCCTAATAATAGCGCGCATCTAGGTTAACATTAAGGTTAGAGCGAAAGGTCATGTAAAGTGGCTTACGTTAGGCAACTATGTATGTTTCAAATGATAAGCCAAGTTTAAGGTTGATGAACGTTTGGATTTTCTGCCTGACGTAATTACTAGCCATGTTAATGTTCTGTCTAGGGCTGCAACTAACGATTATTTTGATAATCGATTAATCGGATGATTATTTTTTCGATTAATCGGATGAAAAATTCAATTTGATTTTTTGTTTATTATAACTAAATAAAACCCTAAATCGGGGTATTTATGTGTAAAAGTGTACTGTAAAAAGTGCAAAAGCCACACATTGAGTTTTACTAATATCAATATTTGCATTGTTTTTAATTTTAGTGAGTAAAATTGTCTCTATCTGGTAATGTAGATGAACCGCTACGCTTGTGAAAGGGCGCACAACTGGGCGTGAACTGAACGAGCAGAGAGAGAGAGGCCCGGTCGCACGCGCACTCTCTCTTCGGAGCAAGGCGGCTTCACCGTCTCAAAACTAAGCGCTGTCTTGCTCTCTCTCCCTCGCACATATTAATCAAAATAAACGCCACAATGGTAAGGTCGGGAGACTAAAATTTCGTGTGGAGCATTCGGAGATTTGTTTTTCCTGAATTACCGCTGGGTGTGAATTGTGCTAAAATACGTTGCGAAAAGCGTTCCGCACATTCAGCTGACATAAACCACACTTCAAATAAACGAAAAAAACTATTCAGTGATGAAATGTTTTCTGTGATGACACATCTTGTGGGATGTCTCCAAGAAAGTAATCCAGTTACTTTACTGATTACTTATTTTCAAAAGTAATTAGTTACTTTACTAGTTACTTTACTAAGTTACTTTTCAAAAACATGGTGCACGACCTGAATACGCTATAAAGCAATAGACCTTTCAGCCTAATTATATTCTTTCTGCATATTCCATCATCTAAAATTTAATCAAATGAAACTCTCTTTTTTTAAATTTGTTTTATTAGTTTCAATATTTTAACTTTATGCACATTGCATCAAGCAAAAATTTAATTAAATGCAACAGTCTCAGACATTTACACCTATTTTCTGCACATTCCACCATATTTTAAGTCCTTCTTCTTCCTTCTTCTTGCTAGGTGCTTGCTCAGATTTGAGGTGGAATTTTGACATTCTCCAACGGTGGTCCTGTTTCTAGATCAGGATGCTCTCTACACACGCAAGGTCTCTCGCTCGCTCTGACGCTCTCCCTCTCTGCGGGTGCGCGTGCGCTACGCGGTCTCTGTCTCGCATGCACGCTCGCTCTAGATTCCGGGAGATTTAAACTAATTTGTGGTATAACTAGTCGATCTCGAGTGGCTCAACAGGTAGATCTATAGATAAACTCATCTTTCAGGCATTTGACCGACCGGGTTGACACTTCAGCGTGAGAAATCGGGGGTGTGGCGTGTGAGACCAATCAAATGCGTGTCTCTCTCCCGCGCTCCATGTTGTCTCTTGTTCAACACTACACACATTTCGGTGTTTACGACTCATGGCACGAGACAGTCTCACGAAACAAAATGACGGTTAACTAACGCAGTAACGCAGCCTGCTTACGGGGAAGTAACAGTAATCTAATTACTGTTTTTGCAATTGTAATCCCTTACTTTACTCGTTACTTGAAAAAAGTAATTGGATTACAGTAACGCGTTACTTCTAACGCATTACTGCCCATCAGTGCCGCCGGCACACGTCCGATAATGACACGTCCAATTCGCAAACTAATGACTTATTTGAACCGATTCGTTTTAATGAATGGTTAAAACAACTGATCTTTCCAACACTGAACTCACGGTACGTTTAATCGGTGTATAACTAATCGGTAACACTTTACAATAAGGTTCCATTTATTACATAAATTACATAAAAAGTACAGTTTGCTTACTCAAGTGTAAGCTTTAAAAGAAATAAAACCACTTGTTTTTTCCCCTGAAAAAGCATGACTACTTTTTTCCACACAGTCAGGAATCGATAAGACAATAGGCCTATTTCACAAAATGGCCCCCGAGACCGGAAGTAGGGTAAACTCTTTTCCGGTGAAAGCGTTAGCAGTTACAGTCGGAGGACAAATGCGGAAACTATAAGCGGTTTAGTCCTGTTGCTTACCTTTTTATGGTGTTTATGTCAACCCAAAGAAGAAACAACCCTATTTATCACTTCACAGCTTTCCGCGTTTTACGGGTTTTCATGGATCAACTGGGGAAAGGTTAAATCACGCCAGACACAGACGGCAAAAAGACTTCTGGTCGCGCCGCCGCCCGCTACGATCGTCATTCATTTTCAAAATGGACTTTGAACAGCTTGTTTTCTCTCTCAGTTATTCATTATTTGAACGTTATTTGACAAAAGTAAGAATATCAGATGTTGTCCGTTTTGTTGTTTGTTTTCAGGGAGTTGTGAAAAGATCGAAATTGGACAAATTCTTGACGTTTGCTTAGTGCTTACGGTAACGTTACATAAAAAAAGTTCCATTCATTTAAATGGCATGACACTTGATGACTAAGCTCACATTTAACGTTAATATATCGAAAAACAATAAATAAATAAAATGAAATGATGTCTGATTGTAGGCTATGAGTGAAATATAGTGGCTTTTGTTAAAAGAAATCATGTTATTAAGTGTTAGTCCAGGAGATTGCAGCAATCTTCCACTAGATTATGGCTCCTTTTTCATGTTACCATGAATGAAACTAAGAATTGTACATCTTTACAGTGAATTTGACCTAACGTTGCTAGTATGTCTTATAATGAAATTAAGGTAAATAAAAAAATAGTTAGACTAAAAACATGAATGAAGTGATTGATATTACATGTTTAAAAAAGAAATCATGTTTCAAAATAATATTTAACTGTCTGGGGTCCCCTTATGAAAAGAAAATATTCCCTATATATGAATTATCAATATATGAAATGATTTAACAGCAGTGTTGGGCAAGTTACTTTTAAAAAGTAATTAGTTACAGTTACTAGTTACTACTTCCAAAAAGTAACTAAATTAGTTACTCAGTTACAAATTTTAAAAGTAACTAGTTACTTAAGAAAGTAACTATTGCGTTACTTTCAAGTAAAATTAAATTTTAAATGCTCAAATGTGACCCCACCTCTACCCCTCTTTAACGGAACTTACAATACATGTTCAATTATTTATGATAAATCTGAATATTATAATGAAATGGACACTTAATACAATACATTATTAACAGAAACATGAAACATTGTACACACATCTAAAAAAAAAAAATGTTGCTGTGGGACAAAGTGAGACTAGCCTCCAATCAAATGCCATGTAGATATTATGTTTATATAGTGGATCAATGCAAATAACACAATAGATGTTTTGGAACTTTTGATATTTATTGCCCCTCAACAGGCCACAACTGGGCAAAATTAAATTAAGCTTGTTAAGCTCGTCGCCATACCTGTCTCTCGTTGACTGACTGGCTTGCTTGTGTTGTTCATTGTGTGTCCTGTCCTGTCCGACTATGCGTTATGATGGGTCGTTCGCAATTCATGTGCGTTAGCCGTTAGTGATGATGGATCGACTCGTTCGCGAATGAGCTTTTGATGGGTCGTTCGCGATTCGCGAATGAGGCGACTCTAAGAGCCGGCTCTTTTAGGTGAACGTCGGGAGCTGGCTCGCATATCTGAAGAGGCGACTCTATTTTTACAAATTTAGCCTATAGAAATTAAATAATTATGTAAAAAAAATATATATATATATTATAGTCAAAGTCATTTAAAGAGCCGTTTGTGAGCCAAAAGAGCCGGCTCTTTTCAGTGAGCTGAGTCAAAAGTGCCGAATGCCTACTACTATGCGTGCTTTCGAACACCCGCCCAACTCTACCTCTGATTGGCTTACAATGACATTTTACTCTACCTCAGTCGTCAGCATTTATGCGCTTGTCTCGTGCTCTGCCCACTAACCAAGGAAGAACAGTAAAAAAAAGTATTTGCCTCTCGCTCAGAGATCTAGTTGGTCTGATGAAAAAAAAAACCCAGCTTCATCAGTTATAGTAACGCGCCGCATTTTTTGGCAGTAACGGGAACGGCGTTATTAAGATGAGAAGAGTAATCAATTAGATTACTCGTTACTGGAAAAAGTAATGCCGTTAGTAACGGCGTTATTTATAACGCCGTTATTCCCATCACTGTTTAACAGTACGGTATATTTGAAAACATACAGAATAATATATGGTGTTAATATATTACAATATATTGAATGAAACGTGTTCAAACAACTTTAAAAATATTCCAATATGTTAATT